TATGAACAAAAGCCTGCTCTAAATAGGCAGAAATACAATAGAGTTATACAGCTTTTATTGAAGGACCTACTTGAGCATTTTGGGCTGCAGCATCCTCTGTAATGTATCACTGAAAATTGCCTTTCTCAGTTCCAAAGTATCCGAAGACCTCCCTGAAAAAGCAACCAATAAATAGACGAGACATATATGTTTAATAACGGAAAAAAAAAATATGATTAAAGTCTTATTTCAGTTTTGCAGTAGAGAAAAGTTAGAACCTCTGTTAGGTATGTTAATCTGGAGAGAAAAAAAAAAGAATGAGAAGACAAAAAAAAATAATTAGCAGTGTGTGTGTGTGTTTTGGGGGGAGCCCGCACCAGGTACCACCACTCAAGAGGTGTCCCAATGCGGTAGCCGGCGAAGAGACTGAATGAAGCCGGAACTTTTAGGCAGAGTGATCTCTGTCAATACAGAAGTTTAGGGATCACTGGAAAAAAGGGCAGAAGAAGAAGAAAGTGATCAGGTAAGTATTAAAGGGGAGCATTATTACAGCCAGAGCTTGCCACTTACCACTAATGCTGGGAGGTAATAAATTACTACCACCGACCATTGGAAAAAGGGGGATTCTTATGGCCACTTACATCAATGTTGAGGGGTTACTATTACTGCCACCAATGATTGAGCTTATTTTACTCACACGCTACAAGCTATACACCGTAAAGAGACACTCAGTTTATTGGCCTTGTCTCCAGGTGCAGGGTGGATGGCAAGTCACTTATGCTTCATTTTTATTCTGCATTCTTTCTAGGCATGCCTCCTAACCATTTTGTTGGTAACTAAGGAGGGGAAAGCATCTCTGAGCTACTGTACATTGGGTGGATCGATATGCTAAGTATCAGCTGATGCTGTCCACCCTCCAATGGCCAATTCTGCTTTTGCCCCCAGTGTGCATGAAGTTTAATTTCATGATTATTATTGAAAATTATTTTGATGTATGGGGGAAGGGTTAAAAAAATGATCTGCCCAGGTGCAAGACATGCTAGATATACCACAGGAAGTAAGGGTCAAAGCAAGAAGGAGGAAAAAAGTAGCTGAATTCAGTTACTTGCATTTTTTGGTGGTTAGTTCTTGAAATGTTTTCACTATAAGGACACTTCTTTCTTTCATTTCCGGATTGGCTGGAGGTCCCTGTGAGAAAAGTTAAAGTATAATAAATCCATATTTACAGCCCTGACACATACAGTACTTATCACTTGTATTTCACACACTTTATTGGAGCCAGCCATATGTATCTCAAAAGAAGCAAGTTGCAATTACACTAACCATTCTGATATAGGAGCCAGCCATATTCATCTCGAGTGAAGCCTAGTTCAATCCTAGACAGCAGGTGGGCTGAAAAACTATTTTGTAAAAGACCTACCACTCCAGTGACTTTATCCTTAAAGTACGGCTTCAAAAAATGGCCGATAGCCAGATTTAACGGGTAGAGTTTGCTGGTTCCAGCCCTTTGAGTCTTTCGGCCAGCGAGCTCCCACATTAGCTCCTCCTAAAATGAAATGATTGATTTTCAAATCTGCTAATGTGCAAATGTTTCAATCCAAAAGGTTAGCAACAATACTTTATAAAATGGTATAATGCAAGTTTCTATAAAAGAACATAGATAGGCAGAAATCTTGAGCTGGCCATACACCTGTAGAGTTTTGTTCAAAACTTTTTGCTTTTGGAACGTTTAGAAAATTGAACAATGCTCAGAGGGGTCTAATAGATGTTCATGTTGACTGTAGTGGCAAGGAAATTAGAAGAAGCAGAATAAAAAATTTCTCTCATTTCTTATCTGAACAAATGAAATTCTAACCATGAATGTGATTTTGGTTCAGGAAAATTTGTCTCTATGGTACTGCACATGTGTTAGGCACAAAAGATCCTGTTTACTACTTCTGGGATTCCATTCAAGTAGCAGGTATGGATGACATTTTAAGGGCTTAGGAATAAAATTAGTTGGCTCAATCATGGCAAGATCAAATGCTCTAATGAACGATTTTGAACGAATGTTTGAACAAAATTTAGTGTATGGCCAGCTTTATGGAGAACAATGAGATTGAGGTGTATACATGTTCGTGGTGTGTTTATAAGGTTAGTAAATCAACCCCAAAGTCTCACTCACAGCAGATGGTGAGATATATGTCCATCCTAGACTCATTGGGGGCAGTTAGTGATACATGGCTGACAGTACTTGTCGCCTAAAAAAGTCCTACATGCCCTGATCCTCAGCTAATCGTCACAGGGGATGCTTGAATTGGGTCATAATTTCTTTGTATTGGTGGAGCAGCCAATATCTGCAACCTACTACCTGACATCCTCAAAAAATATGGATCTGTGCCTGTACCATCTTGATCACTGAATGTGCAGCTCACACAAGAGTGAAGTAAGGAAAGCTCCTTCCTCACCACTGGTGCTGAAATTTTGTCATAGTTTTGATGTACTCACTTGTGAAAGGGTGGCCATATACTGGAAAAATAATATCACATTTCTATGCTAATTTAAAGTATAAGGCACCATTGAAAAAAAAAGGATTTTCAGATAAAAAAGGGAATTCTGATAGACAAAGTATAAATGCTGGAAATTCACTTTGTCCTTGCAGAACTAACCAATCCCAGAGAGGCATTATTGCCTTATAGGCCCGGAGGTTCAGGACCCACCAAGGAGGCAGTATGGAATTTGTATGTTCTTCCTAGTTCTGGTTTGTTTTTTAATCCACTATCAAAAAGCATATTTCTAGTTTAATTGGTGTCTGAACAAACTGGCCTCAATGTTTTTCAGTGTGGCTGCAGGGAATCATTACACTGTATACTCCTTTAGGTGCAGGGATTGATATAAATGGTTCTGTGAATTCTGTAAAGTGCTGTGAAAATATTTGCATTGCTATACATATGTAAAAGAAGTCATTATTTTTAGAATTGTACATAAACCAATCTCTCTGCTGTCACCAATAACCCCACTATACCTGCTGCTCCTTATTCTGTGCAATCAGCACTTCCAGTTCTTGCAGTTTCTCCTCTATTACTGCTTGGTATACAAGGTTCATCTGCAGGCACATCTCTGCAGAGCTTCCGCCATCTTCCCAGATGACATCATCCTAACAGAAGGAGAAAGATGGGCACAGCAGTAAGTGATCTAAACACATTTACCTGATAATAAGGAACAGGACATGGTACGCTGTTCTTTCTTCAAAGAGAATAACTCACTATTGGCCCAAAGTGAAATGTAAACAATGAATCCTAAATTATTATACCTGTGCAGAATTATTTAGATTCAAATTTGCCCCCAAATTGAGTTTTACTTATTTTATTTGAGTCTGACTCCTCAACTTGAGAGTCAAAGAGAGAATGGCAATTGAACTCTGACAGCTGATGCCCTGTCAATCGCCTCCCAGCTGCTAAGAGCACAGAACATTGTCACATTAAAGAATGATGTAAAGAGGAATGTAAAAAAGCTCTATGCTCTGCTATTTAGTATTGTTATACACACTTGGAGGGTAATTTATCAAACCTGGAGTAGACAGAATCTTGAGCAGTTGCCCATGGCAACCAATGAGCTTCTCTCTTCCATTTTCAAAGCCTAATTGAACAAACTGAAGAAAGCCGATTGGTTATTATTAGGGATGCACCTATACCGGTTTTTCGGTATTAAGTACGAATACTGATATTTTCCGGCACTTGCCGAAACCGAATAACAATATTGGTGCTGTGTGCCCCTTTTATCAGGAAGCCGCACAGCAGTTCATGATCCGCTGCCCGGCTTCCGGATTGCCTGAAAGAACACCGGCTTCACTTCCTGAGGCTGCCTAGCTTCCTGACCAATCAGGAAGCCAGGCGATGGGTCATGAGATGCTGCGCGGCTTGCTTATTGGTCAGGAAGCCAGGCTGCCTTGCAACAACTGAAGCCCGCTTCCTAGCCAATCAGGAAGCCGGGCGGCGGGTCATAACCCGCCACCCGGCTTCCTGATTGGAAAGGAAGCCGGTTCCATGCTCCCTCGGCACTACCGGTGGTAAGTATTGGAGCATTTCACGACTACAAGTACTCAGGCAAATACTCGGTATTGGCACGGATACTAGGATCGGTATCAGTGCATCCCCGCCCAGCTAAATACGAGGGTATATATCAATTGTAAATAAGTAAACTGTATTTCAGGGTCTTCTTTTAAATAAAGATAAAGAGATTGGTTAGAACCCCTGTTTTCTTTTCTTCCTCTGTCCCTGTTAGGAAGATTTTTCCCTCACATCTTGCCCTAAACACAAAGGAAGCGAGTAAAAAACTATCAAAAGTGAGGACAGCTTCCCCATTAGATGTGGTCACCGATACAGATGTTCCCACTGGAAGATTTCCCCTTAGCTACTTTTCCAGTGACAACTGTACAATTCTGGATGAATGGTCACCAGCACAACAGAGGGTAAATATCCACAGTGGGGACACAAGCAGAAATAGATACCTTTCCACACTATCTAAAACTATTTATAACTGAAGTACATAAAAGATTTTAATAACATTTATATATAAATATAGCTTGAGCAAGCTGTTCCACCAAGGTTTCGGCTGGTCCCGAAGGATTGGGGTCCGCCTGGTTTTACCCTAGGTGGCCCAGGGTACCTTGCCTCTGTCAGGAGCCTTGCATCCTGGGAGGGGAGGGTTAGGTATTCAAGGCCCTTTCTCTTCATAGGAGGACCACAACACCCTTGTGCAGTTTTTTGTGTGGTGTGATTTCACATTTTACTTATTTTGTTCACAGGGGTTTGCTCACACTGCAGTGCTTCAAAAGTCTGTACATAAACTGCTACAATCACGATAAAATCTTACTACTTAAACGCTCATCAGGTAATGTGTCACTATGCACACACATATAATACTGTCACTACGCGCACACACATATGTCACACAAATCTGTACTTATAGATATAAGCTCTAACTAGAACAAGAAATGACAAAAGGGAGACTGTCAAAGGTGAAATTTCAGGGAGATTTCCTCTCACTTCATGTTTGGGATATTACAGTTGTGCTCAAAAGTTTGCATACCCTGGCAGAAATTGTGACATTTTGGCATTGATATTGAAAATATGACTGATCATCCCCCCAAAAAACTGTCTTTTATTTAACCATAGTGGTCATATGAAGCCATTTATTATCACATAGTTGTTTGGCTCCTTTTTAAATTATAATGATAACAGAAATCACCCAAATGGCCCTGATCAAAAGTTTACATACCCTGGAATGTTTGGCCTTGTTAAGGTGCCCATACACCTTAGGATTATCGTCCTATAATCGTATGCAATCGCGTTTTCGTCCGATAATCGCAAGGTGTATGGGCAGTGTACAACAGCAAATACCGTACAATCGTACGACTTTTGACTTTCAAGCAGGTTTGAAAACTTTGGTCGATCATACGATTTTCTCAAGGTTTGTGGCGTTCCGTATGTCAAAAATTGTACGATCTACACTGCTCATGCGCAAACGAAAATATGTGCGGTCGATTACCGCAATTCGTCGCAATTAATTTCTTTAATTAACTAATTGAACCTTGCGATAATCGGGGCAGGATGGGGCAGCCATACGACAATCGTATGATGGTTCGATCATCGGACGAAAATTTTCGTCCAATAAACGTAAGGTGTATGGCCACCTTTACAGACACACAAGGTTACACATACACACACACAGTTTAAAATGGCAATAAAGGTTATTTTCCACATCTGTGGCTTGTTACATTGTTTGCACGATTCTCGTACGATCGCGGGATTTCCCGCGATTCTCGTACGAGAATCGTGCAGTGTATGGACACCTTAAAAAAAGATGGAAAAGGATATAAAAAATCCCAGTCAGTACTGTTCAATCACTTATTAAGAAGTGGAAAATTCGAGAATCTCTTGATACCAAGCCAAGGTCAGGTAGACCAAGAAAGATTGTAGCCACAACTGCCAGAAGAATTGTTCGGGATACAAAGAAAAACCCCCAGGTTTTCAACTGCAATCATGTGCAACCGCACGGACAGGGCGGTATTGCAGTAGGAAAACGCGCAATCTGCCTGCGGATGACTGGGGTGCCATTAGAAAAAATTGGCACTGACAGCACGATCGGCAGTGGTATGCGATTCCGTGACCACCCAGCCATCCGCTCGGTTTCGTGCACGATGACCGGGCAGTCACAGATCGCACACCACTGCCGATCGCGCTGGCAGTGCCATTATTTTCTAATGGCACCCCAGTCATGCCAGGCAGATTGCGCGTTTTCCTGCTGCAATACCGCCCTGTCCGTGCGGTTGCACACGATTGCAGTTGAAAACACCG